TAAGTGACAATCGATCAAACTCAATGAATTATTCATGGTTGAAAGAACCTGATATATCCGTACCAGCAAAGCCAAAATGATTAATACTAAATATTATGGAAATGATTTACAGTAGACTACTTTGTCCACGGTACATTAATCAACTACTTTAAGAGCCCTCGCAGCGAAAATTAGTTACTTGAAAGTAACTAATTTTTTTCATAGTTTAAATGCTTTTGCCTATTTGATCCTGGATTATTCACCTACGTGACAATGATCACTTATTGGAAAACCGTAGAATTGATATATATATTATTTCTACCTCTTTAAGTTATATTTTTGATGGATTTTATGAGTTCTGAATGTTCTATGTGATGGTCAACAAATTAAGATCATTGTTATGACAGTGATGTGTTAAAGGCAGTTGAGATGAGAGTGATTAGGTGATGCGATGTGCTTTATGACAATGCTAAAGGCATAAGCATTGACTCATAGTCAAAGAATCAGTCACCTTTTTTCCGAAAAGCCCTCATAATCAGCAAATCCAACTGTGCTTTTGAGTCCAATAGACCAAATTTTACAAGGATTGGATAGGTAATCCAGAACCACCAAAACTCTTTGTCCAAATCAAGAATAACGACGTCGCATGTTTGGTGGTCAGTTGTACAGATGATCTGAATAGGATGAATCGATTGACTAAACCCCCCAGCACCACAGACATTTGGCTGTGTATTTCTTGTTGAGTGGAAAAAGCCTACACGTGGTACAGCCATGCTAACCTATAAAAGGGTTTATGAAATGGAGATTAGAAGTATAATGATCAATATTCTATTTGGAAACAATACTGCTGTACATCCGACATGCAGGACACCCAAACCAGATCCAAAGCAATCCAGCTTGACATCAGTAAATTTAAGTGAGGAACTAGTTCTGTACATCTATCCAAAAAATGATACCTATTATATCCAGAAACAAACTCCAGATTCAACATTAATGTATCATGTGTCAAAATATCCTGCATTAGTTGAAGACCAAACCTTGTCATGGAATTTACAATTCACTGACCTTGTCACCAAAGAAGCTTTCCAAATCACAAGGCTACATAAAACGACTCAAATAAAACTATCTGGAAATCAATACAGTGGATCGTTAATATGGAAATATCCAGAAGGAAGTGATCGAGCAGTGTATGAATTATCAGTTAAAAACTCTGCACATGGAAGTTGGAAAGGCAAATCATACGGGGGATACAAGTATGTTAAAAATGGCCATATACTGGCAGAATTGGACGAAACAGAGGATCAAGAGACATGGGGTAAAATAGTCGTTCATCCTGAAGGAATGCCATTTCTTACACTGTTGGTATCCAGTGCATTTATGATTGCTTATCGTAACCTTGTCTAAATCTTTTTATGTTACTGTAAATAAAATTTGTAAACCATTGAATTTTCTACTTTTTGAAATCAATGCGATATGGGGTCAAATACAATACGCTCTCAGCTTGATCAATGCTGCGCTTATCCATCAATGGAGGAAATAATGGGTGGTTTGTTGGTATGTGGAAACTGTGGAATTGTTTGTCAAAATCAATTAAAAACCTTGGAATATGAAAATTCAAACCAACCTCACACTTTATATCAGAAAGCAGCATGGACTCCATATGGACGCTCAATATCTACAAAGAGTCTTTTGTATGAAAAGTTGGAATTAATGTTGTTTCAATTTAAATTGCCTAATTCTTACATGCCCATCATTTGGGAACGATCCGAAATGCTACAAAGCGCTAAACATATAGGATATGGAAGAAAGGGTTACGTAGCACTTTCTTGTTGCATGTATCTAACCATGAAAGAACATAACATCCCAACACAATTAAAATCGTACCTGGTAAATTATCACTCAAATCAACTAATTTTGTCTTAGTTCAAGTTAGAAATAGATCAAAAAGAATTTAGCAAGATATATTTTTTTGGAGCAAGTCTTTTGAATTTGAATAGACGAGTTTTGCCGAATAGTATGAAAGATCATGTCAAACGAATCTGCAGAGATTTGAAATATTCGCATGCTGAACTAGCAGATCTGTGCAAATATCTTGTAGAATTGGTATCAATGCACAATATTTCTGGGTTAGAGACGTCTATAGCGACTTCCATTGTATTGATCGCTCTTGAAGCTAAGGAAGGAATCAAGTGCAATTTCACTGCTATTTCAACAAAACATATTATGGCGATATATGTTTGTTCTCTCAGAACTATACAGCGACAGTAATTATTCCATTTTTAACTTCTTTAGTTACGCAAGCATCCATGATGCCATTTATGGGTTACTTCAAGGAAATTCACAATTTAGTGATGTGTTGGAAGATTCTAAGCTATATTACAAGTTGTTGTACGATATAATTATGAGTTGCAATATCATCGAATACTGAAGCAACAAATTAGATACCAGTATTTGTGGTAGAATGTTCAACAATGTCTGTTTTTAGGAGCACAATACCAAAGCTTCACTCAACCATTAAAATGGACCACTTTGGGACAATTCTGGACTCTAGGCACTGATATTCGATCACTTTATCGTCCAGAGTTAATAAACGCAGGTTTAGATTAACATTTTTGATTGTAATTGACTGTTGTTGATTTTTTAAGATGAATATATCATTCAAAAACATAGAAATATTTAAGAAGGTTTTATTTAGTACTCAATGTACTGATTGGCCGGTCGCTACAGCTGATTTCGGAGCACTAGAAGCAGTTTTCTTTCCGGTAGACATGTTTGTAAAAGTGGTCTTCATGACCTCCATAGCATTCATCACAGCAAACGCTTGAGCCAAATCGGTGATAGCAAAAACAAGATTCAAGTATGGGAAAATACCAGGTAAATTGGTGACATACGTGCAGACAAATTGGGAAATAATCACCATGGCAGTACAACCTGTATTATGAATCGACAACTTTAACAATTCTTGACGATTTTCTGTATCTTTACCGGCACCCGAAATCATTTCCAACATTTTCAACAAGAATGGAACTAGCAAAATGACTTCGGTCAAAATTTGCAACCATAATTGATGAACAGATACACTAAAGTCAGCAAAAAAATCACAGTATTCTCCTGGCTTCGAAAATTGAACAATAGTCGTGACTTGATAACCACCGATGATCAACCGAACAATCCATAACGTAAGAGTAGTGTATTTGAGAGTATTCTTGTACGTAGTGAAAGCCAAACCGCGAAACAACAACACAGATTCCATCAAAGTGAGAAAGAGCAAGTAGAACGAGAACGAGAACATGGTAGTGACTTTACAGTTGATAGATGGAACACCAACCATCAAAATACTACAAAATCTTCCACACGAAGCCAGCACGAACTGAAGAAACAAGCACACTTGAGCAGGTCGTTTCCAATCTGGAATATGCTTGTAAGCCATTCCACTGAGCATTCCAAATGCTACTGATACTGCAATAAGAGATTCATTCTTTCCTTTGATAATGCAAGCTGACATAATAAAGAAAGGTAAAAATCAACTCAAACGCGTCACGTCACTTTATTCCGATCGCTTATAACATGTCAGATGTATTTTTTTTTTTGAAGTTCTGCAAGGATAGAAACAAAGATTGTAGTTTCCAACAATGAATATTGCTCTCTTTAGATTTATGGATTAGTGTTAGATTTGTTTTATGCACCAAAGGTTGAATCAAATGCGAATCAACATCTTGTTATTAAATATGTTGATCCAGTTATGATACATTCAAACGCTTGATGAAATTTTAAATTGAAGAAACCATGAAATTTTTTGGGAACTAAACAAGCCTAAAGAGTTTCCACACAAACAGAAATCATTTAAATAGGCCGTGGATATATTTCGAGAGTCACAATTTGTAGAATGACAATTTTGGTATTAGGGGGAACTGGACGGGTAGGAAGCAGCGTGATTAGCCATTTACTAGCTAATGGACAAAAGGTGAAAGCCATTGCTAGGAATTTAGACAAACTACCGAAAGATGACAACCTCATTGGGATCAAGCAAATAGGAGACATTATAAAAGTTACAGTCGCTGATCTAGAAGGAGTCACAGGTGTGATATCTTGTCTTGGTCATTTAATGTCTGTATCAAATGTTCTATTTGATTCTTACTGGGTCAAAGAGTCGGCCGTGCAAGTGATTGGAATTATTGAAGAAATGAAACCTCCATCGCCTATCAAATTTATTCAGCTGAATAGTGCAGGAGTGGATAATCCACTGGGTCATGACGAAAGACCGTTCGGAGACAAACCCATCTTGGCGATTTCATCTCTAGTTCGTCCGTTTCTCGATAGCCAAGCAACCGGTCATTATGTGGCGACAGTCAACAGCAAGTTTGTGGATTGGTGCGCTGTGCGTCCATGCAACTTTATCGAGGGCGAACGGAAACCGTACACCGTAACGGAGGATATCAAAGTCAGTGTATTCTCAGATGCCAATATTCAGATTGGTAGCATTGGTCATTTCATTTCCGAACTGGCAACGAAAGATGAATTGTGGATCAAATGGAAAGGGAAGATGCCATTTTTGAAAGATGCCAAATCTGAATAGTTTTTAAAACACTCATATATTCTTTCATCTACAATGTGCAAGTTCTTAGTTGAGTGGCCTGTTTGGGCATAGCAAATAGGGCATAGCAAATAGGGCATAGCACACGAGATGTCATATACTTGTATATGAACCGATACTTGGTCGTGTGTGTATTTAATTTAGAAATATAATTTTCTTGGATTGTTTTTAATATATGGAGTAGCTTGATGTGCATTTGTGAAATCTATGATGTAGATTGTGTGATTAGTTTAAATATGACAAGATTCAATTCGGATATGGATATAAATTTGAATATAATTTAGTGATTATAAACTAATAAAAGCAATAATCATTTTGTGATTTGTTTATATTTGAAGTACTAAAGTATTATTTGGACATTGATACATTGGACATCGAAATATGTAACCAATTTATAGTGGACAAGATTTCAAAAAAACTCAGAGATGTCGATATGGCCGAGTGGTCTAAGGCGAATGACTTGAAATCATTTCCTCTCTGAGGGCGCAGGTTCAAACCCTGCTGTCGACGTTTTTTTAATAATTATCAAAATGTGATTGATTTTAGTATAGTATATATTGAATATGAAATGGACGATGCAATTTGGATTTATCGCTTTCGTTAAAATTGTTAGACACCTTCCAAATTCTAAATTATCGAATTTTTGCCTTCCGTGAACTAATTAATATACCTAGTTAGTTAATGATGCAGTAATGTATGAAATATTCAATGCTGCAATGGAGTTCCTCACCAAAACTCGAACTCAAGTGACCATTCAATGTTACACTGCAAATGGTGGATAAAAATTATGTGTTACGTCAACAACGTTCAGTTTATTAAAGTAGTCAAGTTCTGAGATGCAGTATAATTTCCCTTTGGAATGGGAATGTTTGCGGGATTATTAATGGTGTTTCTTATGGGTTGAAGACCGTATCCACCATATTATGCTGACCATAATGGAAACCTGGTCTGTTTCATTGCGTGTTACAGACTGGATAGGGTTTCGTTAAAAGAGACCAATCTCATTTTGCTTTTGATTACAATGAAATTTGAATTGGATCCTCATTTAAATATTCCGAATTATCATCGTTCATATTTGGATGCCACTAAAATCCATGGTGTTCCTGTATGTGAAGCTGAAAACATCAATGAAACGGCAGTTTATCGTAATGTACTGTCCAAGGATTCCTTGATGACTGGGTTTGACCATTCAGAAACTATTCAAGATTTATTTGCTAAATCTGTTGCAAGATTTCCAAACAATCAATTTCTTGGAACACGATATCCGTCCAAAGTTGATGATAATGTTGTGTGGGGAGAATATGTCTGGAAATCTTATGAAGAGGTATCTTGTTATTGTTTCTAATATTTCTATAGGTTGATGAAGATCGTTCTGACTTTGGTTGTGGGTTAATGGAAGTCTATGACAAACATGTTTCCATCAAGGGCAAATGGTTTCTGGGTATAATGTCCATTAATCGTTACGAATGGCTAGTGACCGACCTTGGTGCTGGCGCTTTCAATATTCCAAATGTTGCTTTATACGAATCACTTGGACCAGATGCAGCCGAATATATATTGAATCATGCCGAAATTCCAATTGTAGTTGCTTCAATAGATAAAGTAGCCTCTTTGTTGGATTTGAAACCAAACTGTCCTCATCTGAAGGTCATTATCGTTCTGGAATCCCAAATGAAAGAAAATAACGTCGTTTTGGATGATATCAAAACTCAAGCAAGTTCATTGAATGTGGAAATCTTTACTTTCAACGATGTGATCAAACTGGGCAAAACAAACCCACGTCCATTCCAGCTCCCAACTGCTGGTGATGTTGCTTGCTTGTCCTACACATCAGGTACGTTTTTCAAACTACTAATTCAGTTTTAGGTACTACTGGAACACCAAAAGCTGCTATTTTATCACAAGGAAACTTTATTTGCGGTACGATTGCTTCCCATCTTTTGCCAATCAACGAGCACGACGTCCACTTCTCATTTCTTCCTTTGGCACATATATATGAAAAAATGAATATAATCAACTGCTTTGCTCGAGGTGCTTCATTAGGGTTTTTCAGTGGTTCAAGTAATGTCAATTATATTGTTAACGTTGTCAGTTCCGGATTTAATGAAAGATGTACAGGAACTGAAACCGACTGTGTTTGTCGCAGTGCCAAGGCTGTTAAATAAGATTTATGACAAGATAATGCAAGCGACTGTCCAATCAGACTCTTACGTAAAATCATCCATGGTATCCCAAGCTATTTCTTCAAAGTTGTACTATTTGAAGCATTATGGTACATTTACTCACAGCATTTGGGATTCATTGGTGTTTAACAATATGAAACAAGTATTTGGTGGTAGAGTTCGTATAATTTGCTCTGGTAGTGCACCAATATCTTCTGATATATTAAACTTTTATCGTATCTTAATCAGTGGACCAGTTTGCGAAGGATATGGTCAAACGGAGACTTGCGCTGCTGTAACAATGACGTGGCCAAGTGACTTTGAAGCTGGTCAGGTTGGGGCCCCTCTTACTACAGTTGAAGTGAAGCTCGTATCTGTGCCAGAAATGGGCTACCATGCTAAAGAGATGAAGGTATGTGATTTATTAGTTATTAACGTGAAAAGGGTGAAATTTGGCTTAGGGGAGGATCAATATTCAAGGGGTACTACAAGGATGAAGAAAAAACCAAGGAAGCTATCAACGAAGACGGATGGCTACAAACTGGTGATATTGGTAGAATTGATCACGCTGGACGTATATCTATTATTGATAGGAAGAAGAACATATTTAAACTATCTCAAGGCGAATATGTTGCACCAGAAAAGATTGAAATCATATTAGGCAAAAGCCCATTTGTTGGTCAATTGTACGTTCACGGAGATTCACTTCAAAGTCAACTGGTTGCTGTTGTAGTGCCAGACCAAGAATACTGTGTGCCTTATGCAATCAAACAAGGTTGGTTAGAACCTACAGTCACTGTTACTCCACAAGGTGAACCGGCCAGTGAAGAGTTTGTACAACTCTGTAAAAAACCTGAATTCCAGAAAGTATTACTTGAAGAATTAACACAGACCGGAAAGAGTGAAAAACTACGTGGATTTGAAATGATCAAAGCTATCCATGTCGATGCAGAGATGTTTTCATTAGAAAATGAAATGTTGACACCTACTTTTAAATTGAAGCGACCATTAGCAGCCAAGAAGTACCGAGCAGTGATAGATGAAATGTACGCGAACCTATCTAGAAATAAAGCTTAATATACATACAATGAATGATAAAAAACACACGCAATACAAGTACATGATACAATCATCAACCTTGGTGAATTGACTGAACAGCAATCATTTCTTTTCCCATCAATTCATAATTTATTGTAATAGCGTGTGATTGAGGGGTTGACAAAGATGTTTCATCAGTTTTCGGCCGCCATCTCCGCAGTGATTTACATCAATTCAGGCGTATTTAAATTCGTTTCTTTTCCTCTCTTAACCCAAATGCCTTCAAATATCTCACCTAAAAAAACGCTGTTCGATAAAGTATTCGAAGCTCATATCATCGATCAGACTGATGATGGTACCAATTTAATCTACATTGACAGGCATTTATGTCATGAAGTAAGCTTTCTTCATCAAATTAACCTTAGGTTACCTCTCCTCAAGTACTTGTTTCTATCCATATTGATTATCGTTTAGGCTTTCGAGGGTTTACGAAATGCAAAAAGAACTGTTAGAAGACCTGATTTGACCTTATCTACTGTAGATCACAATATTCCTACCTCTGATCGCAAGGTTTGGTTCTTTAATTGACACGGAATTAGTCATTCAAGAACGTTTCTAGTTTTATAAATCAACCGGACTCAAGAATTCAAGTGGAGACTTTGGAAGATAACGTGAAAGAATTTGGCCTAACTTACTTTGGAATGGACGACAAACGGCAAGGTGTTGTTCACGTTATTGGACCTGAACAAGGATTTACTCTTCCAGGCACTACTGTCGTTTGTGGAGATTCTCATACATCTACTCATGGTGCATTTGGTGCATTGGCGTTTGGAATTGGGACTTCTGAAGTAGAGCATGTACTTGCCACTCAAACATTATTGCAAAAAAAGTCAAAGAATTTCTTGGTGAATGTTACTGGTAAACTACATCCAGGTGTACAGTCAAAAGATGTTATTCTCCATATCATTGGGCTAATCGGGACTGCTGGAGGCAATGGCCATGTGATTGAATTTGCTGGAAGTGTTATTGAATCTTTGTCAATGGATGCAAGAATGTCAATTTGTAATATGAGTATTGAAGGTGGTGCCAGAGCAGGAATGATTGCTCCTGATCAAGTCACATATGATTATTTGAAAGGTATTTTAAATCATCAACTTGTTTTTAATTCAAACGCAATTTTTCTTTGCTTGACGTTTTGCTCACTCTCATAGGTCGACCGCTTGCACCAAAAGGAGAAGATTGGGATAGAGCAGTTGCTTATTGGAATACCCTGAAATCGGATCCAGGTGCCAAATATGACACGGAAGTTCATATTAAGGGTGAAGATATCATCCCAACCGTCACTTGGGGTACTAGTCCTCAAGACACAGTGCCAATTACAGGAACTGTAATATTTTTTCTTTTAAGTAATGCTTCTAGGTCCCTGATCCTGCGTCGTTTAAAGATGAATCAAGACGAGTGGGAGCAGAAAGAAGTCTCCAATATATGGGTCTTGTCCCAGGAACACCAATGACTTCTGTCAAGATAGATAAAGTATTTATCGGATCGTGTACAAATAGTCGTATTGAAGATTTACGATCAGCAGCATTGATTGTACGTGGTAGAAAGGTTGCACCACACGTATATGCTATGGTAGTTCCTGGATCTGGATTGATCAAACAACAAGCTGAAGATGAGGGACTTGCTGACATATTCAAACAGGCTGGTTTCGATTGGAGAGAAGCTGGATGTTCCATGTGTTTGGGAATGAATGAAGATCAATTAAAGCCCGAGGAGCGATGTGCATCCACCTCCAATCGTAACTTTGAAGGTCGACAAGGTTTTAAAGGACGAACACATCTGATGAGCCCAGCAATGGCAGCAGCAGCTGGTATCAAGGGATACCTTGCTGACGTTCGCGAATATACAACTTCGGCAGATCAAGGCGTTATTGAAATTGAAGTTGCTGATTCTAAATCTTATATTACACCATTTGCTGATTCAGATTACAAACCTCCTAAAACTGAATCCATCTCAAACACCAACACAGAGAACACAGAAGCAGTTGGTGGTATGCCAACTTTTACCATTTTGAAGAGTGTACCAGCTCCAATGCCATTTGCAAACGTAAACATTTTTTATTCTTATTTTTAGATCGATACTGATAAAATTATTCCTAAACAATTTTTAAAAACTATAAAGCGAACTGGTCTTGGAACAGCATTATTTCACGAACTAAGATATAAAGAAGATGGTACACCAATACCAGATTTTGTTCTAAACAAACCACAATACAAGCAATCTAGTATCCTCATATCAGGTGAAAACTTT